TCTCTCTCTCTCTCTCTCTCTCTCTCTCTCTCTCTCTCTCTCTCTCTCTCTCTCTCTCTCTCACACACACACACATATGCACACACACACACACACATATGCACACACACACACATATGCACACACACACACATATGCACAAACAAGAACACACACAGTATCTGTCATGATTAGATGAAAAATATATGCATTATCAGGTTTCAATTTACAGGTTTTCTTCAAATATTTCGAAAATCAAATATTAGAAATATAATCCGAAATTATCAAATCAAAACAATATACATTATAGATAGTGAATCCTGATGGCACCTGGATCAAATTGGATGCTAAGAGCACAGCTAACTACTGCCACGAGACTGATGGAGAGGCGTGGTCCCTGGTGCGAGGCAGTAATGGCATCACATATCTACAACATGTGGATGACATCAGTGGGGAAATAAAGGACCCCTTTGCCTTTGGTTTTGGAGCTTCTGCCCTTGGTTCCACTGCGGCACCCCCAACACTGGGAGCTGAAGGAGAGGCTGCAGGGGGTGATGGGAAGGGATTTGATTTCACTTCGGCACAACACACTCCATTCACTTTCTTTGGAGCATCAAGTCAAGGTAAACATGATTGAATCTCTGACATTCTTAGCGTTTTTTTTTTTTTTTTCTTTTGAATACTGGCATACTGGAAGGAGTCAGATATGTGAAGTTTGTTGGTGGTTGAATGAAATTTCCTTGGCATTCAACATCAAATAGTCTGTCAAGGTCTAAAACATATTTGATCTGGCAAGACATTCTTTATTGACTTTGCTTGTAGGCAGCAATGGAGAAATTTTTTTTTCATGAGCTTTGTTACAAGTATCTCCGTCATTTCATTGATTACTGGTAATTTTAAGGATCATGATTTTATAAGCATCAGATTGTGACACCCTTTCATCTTGCTTTTGTGGATTAATAGTTTAGATTGGAGCTTATAAAGATTTATTTGCTAAGTGACTATCTTCTGCTGATCCCATCCCATGTATTTATTTTCTTATTAACATTTCATATTTATCTAGTAACTTTTATGGCAGGATGCAGTTAGTGAGGTCTGAAGTAAATTAAGGTTGTCTTCTTGCTAAGTGCCATTGCTTTGCTTGCAGCGCCATCTACATTTATGAATACATCAAATGATGCTATAAATACTGGAGTGATGCTAGGACCTGGCACCTCTGGCTCCCCATTTGTATTTGGGAGTGGGTCGGGGGCAGGTAGGGACAGCCTGCCAAAATATAGACGACTCAGTGTTGTAAATTGTTGTGTGTTTATGTTGAAGAGTTTTCTTTTCAATCCTTCTTCAAATGTTTTTGCTGTGAAATTAAACGTTTTTGTCAACTGAGGTTTTGCACCAATAATATTGAAATATACTCATGAAAGAAATGTATTGTTTTAGACCCTATTCCCACAGATTTTAGATCGATCTATCCCCGTGGGGAGTCTCACGAAATTACTGTCAGCTTAGCCGGCTTAAGCATCTGTCCCACCTACTTAAAGCTATAAGGGGGCAATTAACTACCGTGAGCACTCGGCTGACATCAATTTAGCGAGAACCCCTAGGGAGTTAGGTCGATCTAGATGGATCGATCTAAATCTATGGGAATGCAGTCTTAGATATAATTGTATGAGTTGGTGATATTCCAACAACCTGAAACCTGAAACTGTCAAATTATAAAAACTGATTTGGCGTGTGAAAACAAGTATGATTGAAAAATAAAATTTGTTACGATGACATGGATGTTTGATATTGGTAAATTTTTTTGTATATGATGTAAATATTTAGGGGAAGGAATCTTTCACAGATTATTTTTCAGATTTATTTCTGTGTGCTGTTGTGAGTTTTAAAGTAACAACTGTACATATCCTGTTTTACAGTATCTCCTACCTTTAAAAAACACTTATTTCTTTATGCATGTAGTACTATGTTGTCTTTATATTATATTCAGAGAAAAAATACTCTAAGCATTGTGCTATCTAATATGACACTGTTAATTAAGGCTATTGTAGAAAGTGGGAGGGGAGATGAAAGCTGCCATGTCAATTATGATCAAATTTTCCTAGTTTTCTTTGTATTACATATTTAAATACTTATTTTGTTGTACCACTGTAATTATATATATAACTGTTAATACTAGAACACAACAGTGCATAATGTTTTACAAGTATTTGGTTTATTCTACATATTTGCACATGTTTATTTGTTCTTCATAGTCAAAACACCCTTTGGTGCCCCAGCCACCCCAAGCAGCCCCAGAACAGCAGCAGGTACAAGCTTCACCTTCCCAAAGAACCCAGAAGATTACGAGGCCCTCAAAGGAGCTGCACCTTTCAAGTTAAGCAAGGATATGGGGGCAGACTTTGACCCCGGGATAAAGGGACAAGATTATCCGTTCAGGTTCCCCAAGGAATTTGGGGACATGGTCCCGTCTGTGGGGCCAGGGAGGGCCACTCCTCCTCAAGTAGGAAGTGCTATGTCCCTGACCCCGCCCTCAGGGAGGATGGATGGGTCAGGGGACGGCATCGACACCCTGGGGGTGCCGGGAGTGTCAATTAAAGATCTGGTGAAAGCTTTAGGTAGGTTAAAGAGATGAAAATTCTTACTGAATCATGAAGTGATGTGCATCATGGTTACTTGAAGTTTTTTTGAGCGTGTGTTGAAGAGCATTAAACTTTGCTGTGTTGATTTATAGTCTTTGTGGTAGTTGCTGTTATCTTGCTCACGTGTAGGGGGTGTATAACGGCAGATAGATGGTCTGAGAGGTGGGAGGCATTTAAGGAGAGGCAGACGTGGGGGACATTTAAAAGTGGACCGACTCAGACAAGGGGGACATTTAAGCAGGGGAGGGGGGAGTTGAACATGCAAATTTTTTAGTTGATATAAAAATGACAGGGGCAATTTTTAAGTTCATTTAAAGTTTGTAAGTCTATCTTTTAATTAATTTTAGTACAAATGTTGACAGGAATTGATGTTGTGTAGTCTTAATGTTGTGTTCTTATGTTAATATGGCTAATTCAAGTCCTTTATAGTATGCTTAATACTAATCAGTTCTTAATCATTTCCTTAAAGGAAAATTGTTTCAGATATATGCTTATTAGATGAGGAAAAAAATGAGCCAATACTGATTTGTAGCCATGCATTCATCTAACTGATACACTTCTTTTAATCTATTTTGTTGTATTTTATCAGGCAGTGCATATTAACCAGTTTTTAGGATGACTTTATATCACAGTAAACACTTCAGTTTCCACAGTGTTCATGCATAACAGTTATAACAGGAACCATTTATCCCAAAAGTGATCATACACACATATAATATCAAATAGTTATATATTGTTTACTTTTATTGCAGAATTAAAAAGGATAACAATATCACATTATTTCTAATATATCACGCAACCTTTATTTTTTTCCTGTGGAAAGCAATTTTTTCAACCAATGTGTAAAAGATATCAGTATGGAAGTGTGCTGGAAAGGAAAAAGTGAAATGTCTGCTGCTTTATGCTTTTTCTGCTTTCCTTGTGATTCTAGGCAAGTTAAAATTTGAGAGGGGTCTGAGTAGTAAATCAGTATTTAGAGCCCTGGAGAGGAGGAGGGAACCCCCCTTGGAACCCCCCAGGGTGAGCCCTAGGGATATCACCAGTGCCCAAGAGATTAGGGAGCTAAGAGCCTTAATAAGGAGGCTGGGTAAGACAGGCATGAAACAAGTCTGTCATAAGTAGCTCCATTTCAGTGTTTCCTATTGGTTAGATTTGACCTTGGGTCCAGTATGGGGATGTCTATTGGTTGGATTTGACCTAAGATAACCCACTGTCATCCAATTGTTGTTCTTAGTCTGTGGTTCTGGAAGTGCCTTTGATTTTAAAATTTTCAGATCAGTTGAAAATTCTGAATTGTGCCTTATTTACTTTTAACTTAACTAAGAAAGACAAAGTAATATTTCATTTTTGTGGAAAAAATATTTCTCGCATTTTGAAATTGCATTTCCAGAATCATAAGCAGTCCAACTTCATATTTCTTTTTTTCACATATTTATTTTGCATCCTGCAGTGTGCTGTTTTCAGAATGTAATTGTTCTATCGTTCATGCCTCTTGTTGTTGTTGTTCTCAATTTTAACTATGTTTATTTTAAACAGATCGTGGAAAAGATTATAAACTCCGGAAGCTGAGAAAAATTGGTGAATGCAAATACTTTTTTTTACTTTCTCCTTTATTTATAGAATAGTTCCTCGGTTTCTTATTTATTGTCTAAACTTGCATGCTAATTTAACTTGCATGTATATTTTCATCTAGTGATCAGGCATTCTAAACCTTTATTGTGTTTTAGTGTCTATGTCCATTTTTTAGTTTGCCTTATAGACAAAATACACATATTAGTACCAGACAATATACTGTTTCACAATTCAGATTCAAGTACTTGTAGTGTTTTTCAGTAGACCTTAAATTTTTTTTGAAAAGCTCTAAATTTCCTAATGGCAGCATTCTTTGAATTAATGTAGACATTGTGGTTAATGAGCCCCAGAAAGTTTAGACTGTTCCCACTTGAATAATTTGATTAAGTGTTTGGTTTGTAATTTAGCAGGGGTTTAAAAAGATTGTCATTTTAAGAACAGGAATTTCAAAAAGCAAGATGAAAAACCATTCTGGCATAGATCATGTTGGTAACCACAAACTGGATTATCAACAGTGCGTACACATTATCTAAAATTACAATTTCACAAGACTATCTTGGATCAAAATATAGAGCCTAAAGGTTTCTCTCATAGAACAGGCTTTAAAGCGGCATGTGGTGCCTTAGCCATTGATTTAATAAATGTTTGGTATTTATGTTTGCAATCATTATGTTCTTTTGTAGGATTTTTCTCATAAAGGGAAAATGTGGTATAGATAATATTAAAATTATTTCAACAGAATGTTTGACAATAGAGGAGTGCATGTGTTGAAAAAGTTGCACATTTTTTTTAACATTGTAGAATTTCTGGTCTGAAGCATGATGAATTAATCAATATACAGCTCTAACTTGACATCTTTAATTCAAAAAAGAATAAATTATTTTCTGTTAATCATTTATAAGAGGAATATCAACGCCAAATTCTTGTGTAAATTTTTTATTAATTTTTTTATTTTGCTGTTTAAATTGATTTTTTGTCAAGTTTCAGTTGTTTGAACAAAAGTTGCACACTTTTATTTCAAATTAACAATTATTTTCTAATACCTAGCACTGTATACATACATGCCAAGAAAGTCATATATTAACTTCTAAATGAAATGTTTGATTAACTTTCAGCAGGCTTTAAATGATCCAGTTATGTTAATATTATATAACAAGATGTTTTTTTTTTTGATTAAATTTTAATGAAGAATTGTTATTAATCGAAACATGTTAAAACATATTTCCCATTAATCCCAATGAATAAGTTGTTTTCTGATGTCTTCTCACTTAAAATAAAAAACGTATTACAATAAAACAATAAGTGATGCATTTAAATTTTATTGCTTTCAGATAATGGTAAAGTTTTTACCTTTGGTTTTTGCTAAGATATAACCTGAAAGTATTATTCTTTTTGTCATTGGTACCATTACAATGTTGTCATCATGTGAAGCCGAGGCATTTTTATGATCATAAAGGCATTCATTGTTTTGATAAGGTGTTTTACTTTGCTTTGCCATATATTTCTCAGGAGAAACCAAAGCTAATGGTAACCAGAGCCCGTTAGCGACACCTCCTGGAACTCCCCAGAAAGCTGCCACTCCCCCTGGCACCCCTCAGAAAGTGGCCACGCCCCCAGGCACTCCCAAAAAGATACCCTCGAGGAGTTCCAGCCCAAAGCCCATACCTGGTAACTAAGATACTTGGAATAATTCTCTTTTTTTTTATTATCAGAATTATTGTTGTTTTCAAAGTGGTATCCATGATGGTATTTTCTTCTCAAATGTCATCTTTAAAATGAGACTCTGATTTCTAGTTCAAGATTTCTGGATTTAGTGTATTCTGCAATATGGAACAATTTGGAGATATATTTTTACGTGTTAATAATTACATTTTGATGAAAGATACCAAGCAAAATAAATATAGTTTAATAATACTAATTTAAAACTATAAATAAGACTTATAGAATTTGTGAATATAACGGGAACGGTTTGTTACTTTAATTTTGTTTTTTTCTAAGCAACACCATAAATGTTGATGAATATGACATCAAAATCTTTTCCTAATAACCAAAAGGTTCTTCCAAGCACACCAGTCTGCACAGTGGCTCTCCCAAACATGAGGTATTACTTCGAGAAAGAGTCTCGCCTAGCCCCCCAGGGACACCGTCATCTAGTGGGGGGAAGAGGGACAGTGGGGCACAGTGGGTGACCCCTCCTCAGACACCCCCTAGGTTCAGCTCTCCACCCAGGGGAAGGTAAGTTATAGTCCCTTATATACATATTATCTTTATGCAAGTACAAAATGAGTCTTTTGTGTCTTGTCTTTTTTTCATTGTAGGGATTTTGATTAAAGGACATCATATTTCTGAAATACATTATATGAAAGTTATTTAATTTGCAATTTAGTTTCAATAATTTTTGTAATATTTTAGTCCTCAGAGAAGTTCCAGCTCCAGTCCTGCCAGGAGTGGGAGCCCCCATAGTAGTCCTAGCAAGAAGGCTGCTGATAATGTCAAAGCTCACTTCAGTATAGGAGCAGCCGGACCAAGGGAGGAAGCCAAGTATGTCTGTGCATGGCCCCAACACTTTTAAATAAATATCTAGTGTAAAGGCTCATTCTAGCAGTAAATTGAAAAAAGGAGCATATTATTTTTCACTTTTACAAGTATAGAAGTATCTGTGAAATAGATAGAAATGAGATGAAATATAATACAGTAAACTGTAAAGCATTATGAATGGTTTAAATATTTGTATTTTGTATGCATCATTTTAGGTCTACATCTCCAAAGTTGGCCAGGAAAGACCGATATGGCAGTAGGTCCCTTCGCACTAAGAGAGAGAGGGCATCTTCACCATCCCCTAAGGAGACCCCATCCACCGCCCCTCGCTCCAAGTCTCTGCCCCTTATGCAACTGGGCAAACAAAGGCAGCCCGTAAAGCAGGCCCTATCGCCCTCTGTGGCTGAGTGCCTGAGAGCCGTCTTTGCCTCTTTTCTGTGGCATGAAGGGGTGGTCCACGATGCCATGGCATGTGCCTCATACCTGAAGTTTCACCCCAATCTTCAGAAAGACGTGAGCCCCCTAGAAACTAAGAGCAAGAAAGAAGATTTTCTAATGAAGAAAGATCAGGGTGGAGATTCTGGTAGACCCGTAAAGCCAAGTTTTCCTCCTGACTTGATTCCAGGCAAGCCAGAAGAGCAAAATTTCAATAATGTTAATGTTAACATCAATGAAGCTGCATCGAAAACAGGAGGAAAAAGTGGATTGAAAGATGACGTTTTCTTAACTACTCCGTCACCAGGGACTAAGGAGAGACATAAGTCTGAGAGCCACATCCGTGAGAGTCAGGTGCGCTTTAAGTCCCCCACAGAGGAGGGTCACCATGTGAGATTTAAGCTGAGCTCTCCAGATAAGGATGTCATGTCACCAATCACATCACCCAAGGAGGAGAGAGCAAAAATGGTACACATATATTTGTTACTATTTATTTCAGTCTATATTTAGAATGAAAACCACTGTTTTTCATTGCTAACCATAATGACATATATTAATGTAACTTAAGTATGCTTGGCCACATGTTTAGGATTTAAACTTAATCTGTAGAAAAAAAGCAGAACTCAGAAATAAAACAGTAAATTACATAAAAACATCTGTAAGTTTAAATTCATTGTTTTTCATGGAGAAAAAGGGGTCTTGAATCAGTGAAGTAAATTTCAATTTTTTTAAAAATATTTATTCATACCAATACTCTTTTATACCACGCTATAACAATGTCTCTTTATCACTGCAATGACTAAAACAGAATTATCAGATAATGATGTTATGTATTTCAGCACACCCCAGAGTTACTCCCCACCCTTCAACACCTGGTCCACCTGTGGGAAGGACTGTCACTGGCCACTCTTAGAGTCATTCAACAAAACCAAATCTCTGCTAGCCCTGCAGCATCCGCCATAATGAGAGTGAAAAGAGATGACAAGAAGGACTTGGAAAAGGAGAAGGAACGGAAGGTGAAGAACAGGAAGCGAGAGGGAAAGCTGTTGGAGCCAGGCAGAGGAAACCTGTTTGGAGAGGCTGCTGGGATATTCGGGAGCGGTGTTGAGGAGCGGAACACAGTTTGTGAGCTATGTGGTGGGACGTACCCCTATCCTGTGACGTACCACATGCGTCAGTCCCACCCGGGATGTGGTCGCCATGCAGGGGGGCAAGGTTACAACAGCGCAGGTCACTTCTGTGGAGGCTGGGCGGGGAATTGTGGCGACGGAGGCCTAGGGGGCAGCAGTTGGTACTTAATGTGTGACCGCTGCCGAGATAAATATCTGCGCGAGAAAAAACAGGTGCAGAAAGAGAGAAGTAAGAAATCAAAAAAGAAATCCATATCCCCAGTGAAGCAAGCTTCCCTACCGGTGCCCACTGAGCCACATTTGATCATGAAAAATAATGCAATGTTTCTGCTGGACTTGGACTGTGCAGCTGGGCTCAATCTCCCATCAAATGCCAAGAAACAACATGACCCAAATCTTCGGCGTGAGTCCAGTCTGCCCAGTGTCTATGAGGACAGCCTCCTGGATATTCACTCATACCCTCTTGTACCCTTCCAGTACCTCATGCTCAAGCATGCTGATGAGCACGATTCGGCCTTTGCTGAAGACATGATAATGGACTCGGAGAGCATGTGGAGAGAGGGAATGGAGAAAGTGGTGCCCTACAACCGCCCACGCTTGCCCACGGAGCCAAAGATGCATCTAATGAAGATTGGAAGATTGGAGTCCTTGCCTATAAAACATGAGAAGAGGATGCACGTGTCCATGGGACCAGTAAGTTACTGGTTTCAGGATGTGTGATTTTCAGGCTTTTAAACCTTGATTTATATGTAGTAAATGCATAGCCTTTTGACTTAAATGATGATGTTAGTACAGCATGGGGAAAGATATAAGTGAGTTTGTACCAAAGTTAATTTTTTGTCACTTGTGAAAAAACATCAATATTGTGAAAATGAAGTTAACAAATTTTTGTAGTTTATGTTAATTTTTAAACTTTGTTGAAATCATTCTTGTAAAAACTAAAGCTTCATGTGGCTTATTTTAAGGAGGGGAGAGCTAGGTCAGGATCTGAAAGTGAATCCCAAGAAAAGCCCATGTCCAGGTCTGTGGAGAATTCACCTGAAGATGGCACCTACACAGCAAGGGCCAGTAGTGTCCATTTTTATCGCAGCATTTCTGAGTTCCACACTGCAAGCAATGACAATGAAGTAGAAGACAGTAACAGCAACATGAGCAAAAAGCTGCTCAGGAGGAGAAATAACAGTGGGGGGTTTGGAGGTGAGAGCAGGAATAATGTGCCACTTCTTGTTTTTCCCATGTTGGTTCTAGCACATTCGAATAAAATTTTGTTGAGCGTAGATTTGGAAATTGATATGAAAGATGTCATGGACTATAAGTGCGCTTTTTATTGCCAATGCATTTTTAATTATATACCTAAGGCTATGACAAAAAGCATGTAGAATTGTGTAACAATCCAAGCAGTTACCAGTGTAAAAGGTCATTCCTGAGTTGTTCATTAGTGATTTATACGTTAATGATATAATTCTTATTTTCACCTTTACAGAGAGTGGTCTTTCTTTACTGAAACACCCCTCCAAGGCCATGGAGACTCTGATATCATCACTTGAAGGTGGACACCTTGCCAAGAGTTTGGCTGAGAAAGCACTTCAACGTCCAGTAATGTCCTTCATTGTCCAGCGCCATGACTTGGACAGTTTACAGCTGGCGATGAAGCAGGCACTCAGAAAGGCAGGCTGTAGGGTGTATGCAATGCAGGTGAGAATAATTCTGGTATAGTTGATAATATGTTTTTATAGGTCAAAATATTAGTTGGGTGATGCATGATTAAACACATTTAAATTGTGCAATTACAGGTTCAGCAATTATTGGAAGAATTGGAAAATCTGCACCTTTTTCACGGGGTTTTAGAAATCTCTCACTTTACATTTATTTTTTGTTTGTATTCTCAGGCTACCAACTGGTTACTTCGCAGTGTGACCCAACCCTCTTGTCTTCATGACATCATGTGGTTCTTTGTTTCTTCTCTCACCACTCGCCATGGCAATGGGGATGAAGAGGACATGCACGACCACAAGGACAACCACCACAAGAAGGAACTGGAGGAAAAAGCTCTGTGTGAGCACCCGCAGTCCGATATCGTGATTGGGGGAGAAGCCATGCACCCGCTATCTACGGCCTTCCATGCTTTGCTGCAGAGTATATCTGATGTCATGATGTTCTTACCTGCTGGGAGTGCATTACAGGTAACTTAAAATTTGTGGAAAAGACGAATGAAATTCTTTGATTGGCAAGATCTTGCATTTATCTAGTATTTCACACTGATCTGAAGGCCAGTGAAAAAATATCAACAGTCTTGCCTTTTTGCTGACACCTAAGTCTTTGAATGGGTTTTTATTGGCTCTGCCTTAATTATACATTACCTGATTTTCGTTTTTAGCAAATGGCAGTGCGTTGCTGGTGCCTAAAGTTTATCCAGTCAGACCACCAGTTTCTTCACAAATGTCACGTGTTTAGTAACATCAGCCAGATATTGTCACGCTCAGACGAGGCTGAAAAGGCACCGCCACCTGGTGCCGGAAAGGAGAACAAGTCTGTGAGCTGTCTGAAGGATTTGACCCTAGGGGCAGAGTGCAAAGCTTCTAGTAGGCAGGCCATGGTGCCTAGTTTGATGGGTAAGTAATATGTGTGTGCGCAGGTGTGTGTGTGCATGTGCACACGTGTTATTATGCAAAAGTAACTATTTTTTTCCTCATGCTAAACCTAACAAAAAGAAAATATATATATATATATATATATATATATATATATATATATATATAATCGCTGATTATGACANATATATATATATATATATATATATATATATATATATATATATATATATATATTTACTTAGTGTGACTGATTAAAAGTTATACTCTTTCGGGGATTTTACTTTAATAGCACAAAAAATCACAGCAAAAATAAAGCAATTTTTTTTTTTTTTAAGTTCATCTATTCCATACTATTGTAGCAATTATTAAAATTGAAGTCTTTCCCTCTTATGCATTTTGATGATTTAGAAGTAAATTTTTAAGAGTTCAACTGTTTTCCTTTTCAGACAACTCAACAGAGACTTTCTGGGAGAGTGGCGATGAAGATAGAAACAGGACAAAATCCCTGACACTGTCTACTATAGAGAGAGCTAGTATTAGACAGATAGCGGTCCATATAGACAACACCAGAGACTTGGGCGTGAGTATGACACACGTAGTAAAGGCAGATGCCTGTATTGACCATATCAGAAAATGGGGTTGATTACGTGATGTGTGAGTGACAGCTAATACCATAGGGGGCTAACATAGAATTATGAATTAGCCCAGAAAGTTTTTCTTTTTGTATTTAAACTACAGGAAAAAAGCAACTGCTTAGTTTGCACTTTGTGTTGGGATAACTTTAAATTGAGAAGGAGAACTTTGGTGTTTGGATTTTAACAATCTAGGCCTATTTCTTTGAAAAAATAAACTGTGATTTTATTTTGATTTTCTACAATTCAGAATAAAGTGACTAGTGTGACATTCTACAGTGGGTTGAACTCAGAGGACTTGAAGAAGCTGAAGCAGACGGATCTTGAGCCGCGATTCACTGGCTGGGTCAGCTGCCCTGTCACTGATACTGGGTATACTCTGGCAAAACTGGAACTGAAGGTACAATGTTGGGAAGTATTTCATCAAGGGTGCAGAATATTTATCTCTCAAAAGTTGATTATCATTTTTTGGACAAAATTGAACAATTTTCAGTTTTTAAATTGTACTTTTTTCTAACAAAATGTACATTATACTTCATGCTTCTTAAATGATGAAAATATTAATGCTTGAATTAAAACTAGACAAAACAATGTATGCTTGCATAACGTTACCTGTGATTCAGAAGTTCTGAACAGATGCGTAGATAGATACACTGTATCTGTTCACCTCATAGGGTCCAGACAACACGCTGAGGGTGCGTCAGGTCAAGGTGCTGGGAGAGATAGATGGTGAGAGCTGTGTGGTGCCAGGGCAGAAGTGTGCCTACCTGATGCAGCTGAAGAACTGTGAGATGGAGACACTGAAAGTGTTCAGGTTGTTGACTGCACAGGTAAATATAAAATAAAGCCTGGATGTCCAAGTGAGGAGAGCTTTGTCGTAATGGCTACCTGATGTCTGCATATTTTGAATATTAAGCATGTGAAATATAAGGGAATTCGAAATTATGACAATGGGAATGAGTCTTAAAATTGTACTTTTCAAATTGGCAATAATTTATAAGGTATGTATAATGGGAGAATGAAAAAATTGGAGAGGATATGATATGTTTTATCAGCTAACAAGGAGAGTCGAGTGTTTCATGTCGATTTCCCTTTCCCAGGTGTTTGGCCGTCTGATCTCAGATGAAGCTCCATTGGAAGAGCAGAAAAAAGACGAGGTGGACAAAGGAATGAGTGAGTGGGACACTGACCTGAAAGAACACATGGTGGGCATTCTGTTCAGTAGGAGCAAACTTACACACCTGCAGAAACAGGTAGGTATATTAATTACCAAATTAAATGTTACAACAGGTCGGCTCTTGCTAATTAATGACAATTATGAGATATGAGTAGTTTCTATTCAGACATTAAATGTTCAGCAAGTTAATTTTAAAAATAAAAATAGTTTGAATTATATCTGCTGAAGAGAGAGTTAAATGCTGTCATTAAGGCTTGCACGGGTTTTTAAATCCAAGTCATTAAAGATTATATACTCTTTGGAAACAAGATTGCAGGGATCTCATAGTTTCTGGTTCCAAGCCCTGGGCTGGTTTCTCATTAAAACTTTAGCCCAAAGAATAATCTAAACATTAAGATGAAAAAATTTGTGAATTTCAACTTAAAATGATATGTCCATAGTATTAGACTTAAATGGGTAAGTGAGATAAGTATTCTTCTGTAACATGAATGATTTTTAATAACTTTTTAGTTTTAAAACAGGTGGACTGTTACATATGATTGAAGTACTACTGATTTATTAATGTATTTAGGTGTGTACCCACATCGTGCAGGCCATCAAGAAGGAGACGGTGAGGGTGAGAGAAAGCTGGGATTTACAGCTTAATCAAGGGATTATGGTGACTGAAGAACACAACAGGTATTTACAGTGGCCACTGATGTAGAATTTGTCAGTTTTATACCTACATGTAATGCTGGTGGCACTTGATAAAATAGCATTCAAGATTAAAGATATCTGTGTTTGGCTGCTATATATAATTATATCTTTGTATGGGTAAACTTACATCAGAAGTAGAATTTTTTAACTGGTGGCATTACTGTAACTGTTAGAAAGTGGAGCATTGCTCTAATAACTGTTTGAATAATGTCCCATCATTTTTTTCTGTTGTATTAAAGGTCCTCAGATGCATACATATTTGAGCTGTTGTCCATGGTTCTTGCCTTGAGTGGTTCTAATGTAGGGAGGACATTTTTGGCTCAGCAGCTTGGCTTGCTGCAAGATCTACTTAGTTTACTCCATACAGCCACACCTAGAGTACAGAGACAGGTGAGGGGAAAGAGGACAGAAACTATTTTTCTTTTGGAGATTTTTACCATGTCATTAATCTCTTCATTTGGATATTTGTTATGTTGTAGATTCATATATAATCAGTGTATAGATTAGATTAATGATGGTAGAAAAATAAGTCAACTGTAATTGTACAAAAAATATATATCAGGTACAAGTGTTATCATTGGTAATCTTAATGCCTTAAATTTCATTTCAGTGGAAATTTCCCCTGAAAAGCATTTACTTGGGGAGGCAATACACTTATAATATTAAATGTGTTTGTCCACTGTTCTTCAGGTAGTATCCCTGCTAAGGAGAGTGTTACCAGAGGTCCAGCCACAGGTGCTGGCCCGTCTCCTCAATGTCCCCTCCCTCCCACCAGAAGACTTCAGTATCATAGCTGAGGCTAAAAAGGGTGGGGAGGAAGTGAACCTTGACCCCACAAAGCCTGGAATTCTGGATGTTTTCCTGATCTGTATCGCCAAGGCATTGACGGTCCAGATGAAGGTCAAGGGCAGTGGAAAGGCTGTCAATACTGTGGATTCTGCCACCAGTATTCCTACTGAGTAAGTCATTTTTTTTAGCAAAATCATTTATAGATAATTATATGATTTATTTTAAAATGTTTTAAGAAAATAGTTATAGTGGAGTTTAAAATGCTACACTATACAACAGTTACTATTTTGTCAAAAGTAAATTTGCATAATAGCAAATGCATTCAACTAATATGTGTGGTTTGTAATACCTATGACACTGCGTTCAATCTACAACAGTTTAACAGTCAACTTTTCTTTGAAACGTCCTTTATTTACTGGAAAATTGATAACTATCTATTTTTATGCTGTCTGTATTCACTCATAGGAGTGTGCAATCCAGCTCAAGATGGTGGCTTAGAGGAGGGATGAACAACAAACTTGCAGAAACCATCATTACCCTGCTTAAAGACATGGCTTCTGTAAGTGTGTATACAGACACATGCTTGCACATGCACTCACACCCGTGCTTCACAAATTCAGAAATGTGAGAAGAATATGCTCATACTGGCAGCACAGGATGATGACTCTTGTAATGCAGTGTTATGTAAAAAAAATACACACAGCAATATACCAACATGAAATATTTGATGTTTCAAGGACTGAAATGTAGTATTAACAAAAAAAAAAAAAAAAAAAATACCCTGTTCGTAGGAATGCAGATTCTATATTAAGTAGCATTGCAGGATATGAAGACACAAAAAATGTGACTGTGGGTCATTTCAAACTAGTATACTTCAAGAAAAATCAATCTGTTAAAGCCTGGGTCACACTGCGCTTGCAACCTTTTGGCAACCTCTTTGCAACCTCAGTCGCAAGGAGGTTGCCATAGGTTTTAAAGTGGTCGCATAAGGTTGCTAACAGGTCGCCTGCGATCGTTGACACATGAAGGCCAATTTTTGTGCACCGACAACCAGTGCGACTAAAGATGAAAATTATCGGTATCCTAAAGGTTGCCTATCCGTCTCTTCTTGGTTGTCAGTAGGTTGCTATAACCAGTAGCAGGCCATTTGCAACTGCACGGTCGATTGACCGTATTTATTCGACTGGTCGCTTACAAGTTTTTTATCAGTCGCAAGTAGTCGGCAGCAGGTCGCTAGAAGGTTGCAGTTGTTACTGCATGGTCGATTGACGGTCTCTAGTATCTTGGTCGCAGGGCCGTAGCCTGAGCAAAATTCCAGGGGAGGGCAGTAGGCGGATACGAGGGGGCGAAGCCCCCGAGGGGGGAGGGTGTGTCCCCCTCCCACGGTGTGGAAAATTTTTAAAAAGCTGTATGTATAATACTGCATTCTGGTGCATTTTAAGTGTTATTTATTGCTCAATCAAAGTCAGAAATTGTGGGTTCATTTTGCCATAAGTCCAGTCATTCTTTCAACACAACACGCCAATTGGACTTTTTGGCATGAACTGAGTTGGCTAAAAACAGTACACCTTTGTAAACAGATTGTCGAATGATTGTCTAGTGGCCATGAGTGCATTTTCTCACAGAATTGATACCAACTTACCTTTGCGATTATTATTATTATTATTATATATATATTTTTTTTGCACCTCAAATCCCGGGGGGGGGGGGGGCCCGGAGGCTACGGCTCTGGGTCGCTAACATTTTTTTACCGATCGCAGGCGTTCGAAAATATGTCGCAGGAAGGTTGCAAGCGACTGCAATAAAATAGGCATAGGATGGTGGTCTATTTGGGCAAAGACTTTTTTCGTAATTTGTTATATAAGCCTTCTAAATATCAAGGTCATAAATTATAATATTTTAGAAAAAGAAAACATAAATTGCATTTGTTGGCAACATTTTATACCAATTGCCAAGGCTTTCATACACCAGGTATTTCACACTTACGAAACCAAAAAAAAAAAAAAGGTGAGGATAAAAGCAATGTACGATTTTTTGACGCTTCGTTTATTTATTTTATCATTTTGCGAAAATCATAGGTAAAATGCCGAAAGCCTCAATTATGTATCGCTGTATGTTATTTAAAATTTGCAAAGCCATATTATCAGAGTAAACAATGAAACAAATACACGAATGCAGAGAAAACGGAAAATAAAATCAATTTAATCAGCAAGGTATAACTGCTATTTAATATCATAATTTCAACAATCAAAATTATCCACAAATAGTTGAACAAATCGTAAAATGTGTCTTAAATAAAAATAGTTTCAACACAAACAATTTAACATCTTCCCAGTGCTTGGTATCCTCAATACAAGGATGAGAGTGTAAAAAGTGCACGATGCGCATGACTTGTCACGATTTAATTACGTTGTATTGTAAGTGGCAAACGCCTAGGGTTAAAAAGACAAAGGGAAAACCACACATTTGGTTGCAAATCAGTTGCAAAACAGTCGGTGGCCTGTTAGTAACCGGTTGGATACCACAAGTAGGTTTTTAGGTCTCCAGGAGGTTATCGGTGCTGCACCAAAAACCGGCGCAACCGGATATTAACCCGGCGTCCATTTGGAAACCACTTTGCGAGTTGTTGCAACCGGTCGCCGACCTTTTTGCAACCGGTGACGGTTGCAAGTCGCAAAGAGGTTTTTTGTTCAGTGTGACCGTAACTGCACAGGCCTTGCGACTTCAAAGAGACCAAGTATTTGACCAAGAAAATATTAAAGAGTATTATGAGATTAATAAAGATTAAAACGTATACAAGTTTATGTTTTTATTACAGCACTGGTTTCGTTAGGTGAGGGTGTAGTCTTTTCAAAAGTTCACAAAACGTTGTTGCTTCTATTTTTGGGAAGGAAATGAAAACTTCCTGATTTTCAAGTCTAAGTTCTTTCATCAAATGTTTGTAATCGCCTTACAAGGGGCGGCTTGCAATCCACGGGTTCACTCAGTATTTTAGAGTTTTTTTACTCGTTTTACTTCTTAGGTAAACAAAGTCGATGATTATAGCAGTCCCGTCTTTGTGAAAAGGAGTTGTTTTACTAGAAAAGTTTTGACTTTGAGAGGGGAATTTATGGGAAAGCAGCTACTGTCACAAGTTGGCAACATATATATTCTGTGCGACCTTGCTGCTACCAGTTGACAAGCGATTGCTACAGTCCTGCAACCGGTTTTCGGTCACCAAGTGGTTGCAGACAGGTTGTGTATCGCTCGGCAAACAGTGTGCGACTGGTAACCTATAACTTGAAGATTGTCTATAAGAGGTTGCAGATACCATACTGCAACCTTGTTGCAACCGGTTTGCGACTGCTTGCCGATCAGAATTGGCCACAGCTTCTTAATTAGCTTGCAAAGTGATCGCAAGCGATCGCCAGATTTTGTGGTTGCAAAAAGGTTGCAAAAAGGTCGCAAGCGCAGTGTGACAAGGCCTTAAGTAGTACCTCATTGTTTTTGTTTCCCAGGGTCAGGTGTCTGAGGCATGGGGAAGGGTCACCAAGGGGGCAGTAGCTGAGAACATACTGAACCTCACCAAGATGGGAGAGAACTTGAGAGTGCCAGCAGAATGCATTAAAACACCAACTGTAAGCCATTTTATAAATATTTCCATAGTTTTGGTCATTTTATTACAGCAGTTGCCAAGTATTACCAATTTCTTGATAACCATACAGTATGCTCCATTATTAACATTCTCTGTAATATATACATATGTATTTTTTTATTCAGCCTCTTACAAGACAAAATAAGATATGTATTGTAATTTTTTATTAGACCAGTTAAAGAATTAAAAATTGATAATTGCAGACATCTGCTAATCTCCAAAACCTTCATCCCAGCTATAAAAATATTTATATCAACATAATGACATTGACTTCTGTGATTTTAATAGTTACAAATGCATTGTTTCCATTAGTTGTGGCTAGCCCTGGCATCCCTGTGTGTCCTTGACCATGATCACGTGGTCAGTCTGTCCTCAGGTCAGTGGATTAGTCCAGATGGTCAGCAGGGACAACCCAGGGTGAGTTTTCTTGGTCTGTCAAAAGGTCTGTTTAATTGTCTCAGTTGAAATCTCATGTCTTCATATTAAATATTGCTAAAAAGTTTTCTAAGTGTTCAAAATGTAACTTTTAACTTTTTCTTTCAGCAGGTTTTTTTTACATGAAATTGTTGTTTGTAGTTTGTACTTGTAGTAGGCTATCTGTCAGAAACAAATGATGATAAAGGTCTCTAGATAGATCAGAGTAAAATATTTGGTGTGTGCATGTGAAATGAACTCAACGTGATGGCGTTTTCTTTCAGCCCACGTGTGATAACCATGACGATGGAGAGACGTCTGCCATCATCTTGTGTGACATGTGCGGCAATCTGTGCGCTGATTGTGACAGGTTTCTTCACCTGCACAAGAGAACTAGGTCCCACAAGAGACAGGTCAGGACCATGCTTCAAGGCCTTAAAGATGAACGTTAGATTTTAATGAAGCTATTTTTATATACGTGTTGCTGTTTAAACACAGTGCTATTACTAGAAAAGAGAAAAGATGTAAAACAGATGGTGTGCTAGAAATTCCTCTGTTCACCTGGTGCAATTCTTATATGGGAAGTAGTCGTAATCCTCCTGTCAGTTTAGCATTTCATCTCTTTTTATTAAATCATTTTTTTTACAAACTTAATGAAATGATTTTTCTATTTTTCTATTTATAGACTATAGCATAAGTGAAACATTTAGAGGATTTGATGAAATTTCATGTTTTAGCTTGTGGCAAGCTGATATTTATTATGGAATTTATGTTTAATATTTTCTCTTTAAATTGTTTTTTAGGTATTCAAAGAGGAAGAGGAGGCAATCAGGGTGGACCTTCATGAAGGCTGTGGTCGTACAAAGTTGTTCTGGGTGATGGCGCTAGCGGACTCTGCAAGTCTGAAGGCCATGGTGGAATTCAGAGAAGGAGACAGAGGTAGAGAGCTTTAAATTAAGAGACTGTTGAGTAGAATTTAACTGTGAACTTAAGAAACATTCTTTTTTAATTCATTTTGATAGTAACCTTGGCAACAGAACTCTTGCTGATAATAAATTTTCTGTATTTTTCTGAATTTTAAATGCAAGTGAATACATTGAGAAGCTCTCTGTGCAGTGTAAGCTTGTGAATATCTTGGTTGAAAGTTAATAATTCTCAAACCAATGCAGGTGTGCTGAGAATCTTGGCAATAAAATTGCCTAGAGGTCAGACAAATCAACATCATTTCGAGGAAGGCAGTCATTCGTGATGGCCACAAGTGATTGAAGCATAACATCTTCAATGCATGTGTTTAGGGAAATTCTCAGTGCATAATACACCTATCAAGTGTGAAAACCTCTGCTGTTCTTTGTATACCTGTTTTCTACAACAAAACCAGTTACTGTTGCATGCTAGTTCATTGTAAAAGCTTGTTGTCTTGAAGGTGAAGCCTACAAAACCTCCATGATTTTTGCAGGTAAGACTCTAACCAGTGCTATCTCCACGGGAGTGTGCCGTTTCTGTGGCAACCAGAGTTCAACAGGTCTGCTGTCAATGGGGAATGTGTGCTCAGACCCCGACTGTCAGGTAAGCAACACCATAAACACTTTTGCAAGTCCAAATCAGATTTTGAAGCAAAATCTTAGCCTTCTACCAACTACATTGCTCTTGAAAGATGATCTTTGAAGGTTGATTGCCAAGTGATTATATAATCCCAGTAAGTTCACTTTCTGTCTTAAACATACCTAACATACCTCTAACATACCTGCACAAGGTTCTAGCTGCATTCTGTCCAGTGGCTGCAATGCAGTTGTAAACAAGTGCATAATTATGTGAAGTGTAGCACAAGTAGAAAATTTTCAAAATATTAATTATTTAAAATTTTTATTTTCTCTGTGGACATGTGTTGTTATGGTATACCCACATATATATATATATACTCCATGCCAAAGCTACTTCCTTGATCCCAGATGCATTTATTTTATTTGATATCATAGATGTTCCGTTTTTTCCAGGAATATGCCAAAACTGCCTGCAGAAAGGTGCAGTCATGTGGTCACATGTGTGGTGGTATAGCCGGGGAGTATCCCTGTCTTCCTTGCCTCCATGGCTGTAAGAATCCTGGACAGACTCATGCTCTCAAACAGGATGCTGACGACATGTGCATGATATGCTTTACTGAGGCTTTGTCTGCAGCACCAGCAATACAGGTATGTATGTGGCAGAAACGTCTCTGCTTTTTTGTATAGACTTCCACGTTGCATTTAACTTAAGTTCCAGTACAGTGTTTAACGTATAGACTGATGTTATATTCTTGTCGCACTTTCCTTTGGCAATGATTTACATTAACTGTGTAAATACTCAGTATGTAAGTTTTCTTTCTATTTAAGTTAATCTGCAGTCACGTGTTTCACCTTCACTGCTGTCGCAAAGTCTTGGAGAAGGGCTGGATTGGTCCAAGGATAACATTTGGGTTTGCTTCCTGTCCAATATGCAAGGTTAGATTTCATTGGTTGTAATTGCAACTCTTTATTGAACACATTTCTTTGATTCTCATTTGACGAAAGCTGTTAAGCAGTTCTTTTAATTTTGTAAAATTAAAACCATTGTACAGTTGTCATAATTAAGTCATACTGACCAATTTTCTTGACCTACTTTTCACAGCGTGAGATTGACCACCCATTGCTGAAGGATTTGCTTGATCCTACACGCAAACTGTATGATGACGTGAAGCGTAAAGCCCTAATGCGACTGGAATACGAAGGATTGCATAAGAGTGAAGCTATTACTACGGCTGGTGCGAGGTTTTACAATGATCCAGCAGGCTTTGCCATGGACAGATATGCTTATTATGTGTGTTACAAATGCAAGAAGGTCAGTAGCAAGATTCAGATTTAGATCTCATGGCAATTATATTTTTTTGTTCAGCATTCTAATAGGTTTATGTTAAGTAATTGCTCTACTTCAGCCAATCCGTTTTGACTAAAGTATGTTCGTTAAGATCACCAACCTGAAGATAAACTTATTTTCGATCATTAGCATTTGCACAACAGATATCCTCAATAATTTTAATGTCTGTAAAATGGTGTTCCACCTGCAGCATGTAATGTTGAAGTCATTTTGCTGGGCAAGAGATCATCATATAAAACTACAACAGATTTCTTCAGTGCTTTCAGTGGATATAAATGATGTACTTCTTCAGGCTTATTATGGTGGAGAAGCCCGATGTGATGAACAGCTGGAGGGCGGAGATGACTACGACCCCACTGAACTGGTGTGTGGTGCTTGCTCCGATGTCTCAAGGGCACAGGTGAGTGCCATGTCTGATTTGACTGGTTTGCTACATGGTAACTTTCTCAATATGTGAGCTGAATTTAAAAAGGGGATTATAACAATGATGTGATTTTTCTTCAGCTAATATTGAGATAATTTTTACCTTCAATATTTCGATTATAACAGCTTTAGAAAGATGAAATCATGATTTTCCTTGTTTTTCAGCTTTGTCAGGTAGTGACAAACGTTTTGACATTTTGGACCAGCTGTATGCATGTTTGACCATTGGGATGTGGTTTAAATAAATATTGAATTAAATTAAGTTTAAACTAATATAAGGTTAAAATAAAACTTTCAGATGTGTCCCAAGCACGGTACAGACTTCTTGGAGTATAAGTGTAGATATTGCTGCTCCACAGCTGTCTTCTTCTGCTTTGGTACCACCCATTTCTGCAATGCATGTCACGATGACTTTCAGAGGGTGACCAACATCCCCCGCTCTGACCTGCCCACCTGTCCTGCAGGTATGAACATTGACATGTTAATTTTATGGGTCATTGTGAGATAACTCCTGTATGCACATATATAGAAGAGTTTTTTCTAAGAATCAAGGAAAGTTCAATTAAAAACTGATAATACATTTGGTTTTAATCTTATAAGCAAAGTTATGTATAATTGGTATGCATTCTTTCTAATGCAGAGAATGATGTTTTTCATTTTGCCTGGCAAAAAGAGTCTCATCCACATGTACATGTACTACCCCATACACACACATGCCAACATGCTTGGGGCCAGATAGTTAAGGTGCATCCCCATATGCACACACACTTACTGCTTAACATCCTATATACTTTAGTATATTTGTTAATGGAAAAGATGTTTATGTAACAGCACCTTCTATTTAACACTATACTGCAGGTCCACGTGGTAAACAGCTGCAAGGAGACGAGTGTCCACTGCATGTGAAGCATCCTCCGACTGGGGAAGAGTTTGCTCTCGGTTGTGGGGTATGCAGAAATGCACATACATTTTAGATCCAGAAGCCGAAGCCTAAATGAACTGGATGATTTTACCAGCAGATACAAATATGACTTTTTGAATGTGAAGATGTGTTATAGTTCAAGCTTCTTCTTGATATTGGAATGAGGAACTATGAAAAACTAACACATTGACATAAGAAACAGAAATGTTTAAAATTCTTACTTTGGAAAGACAAGATTTTAAATGATAATCCACATTTTTAAATTTGTCTTTACAACATATAGTCATTTTACTATATGGATACATATCCATGTGAAACTTCCTTCAGAAAAAGCTATGGTTTGTAAAACTGTGATCTAGATTTTTCAAACTTTTGTTGTTCCATGCATCTGAATCATTTGAAAAATTATAAAATATATCGCAAAAAATAAAAAACGCATAGATGAAATAAATTGTGATTCCAAATGGGGTCAATATCATATCAGTGACTTTTAAAAGAATAAAATCATGAAAATATAATGTAGTCTCATAAAAATGAATTATAACTGAGCACAACGGCAGAAGAGAAAAAAACTTTAGAGTCTGAAAATTGACATGGAGATTAAATACCCCGTGTGTAGTTTAAAAAAACAGCATGACATATGTAAGCAATTGATAATGCTTGCAATACTGAGTTTTCACCACCTGTTCTATTGACACTGCTGTAAAATAAAGAGTAGCACACAAATTAAACAAGCATACCTGCATCTGCAGTAGTATATCCAGAGTTGGACAAGACCTTTGTGTGATATTATTTAGTGTTCTTATAATAGATTAAGTATTCTCTTTACCAACAATGAATTTTATGTAAACTTAATCAATAAAGATGAAGAATATGATAGATATATGTGGCCTTAATGGGAATATATGTCACATGCCAGATCCCAATCCGGTCCAGGTACTAAATGGTCTGGGCCAGATCCCATAGTAAGCATGTAATTTACAGGTGAGCTGCCAGTTTGTTTGCATGTGATTGTATGTTATTGTAATGAAATTGTTTTGCCATAGTATACCCACAATTTAACTACTCGTATCATGCAAATAAATTAATTGGCAGTGTTATGGTCTCTCCTCGCCATGCGAGGATTACTAGATGACCACCGATCGGTCTCTATGGCACACAGGTCGGCCCCTGGGTGTCTCGCCTTATTGTGGGGTTGACTAATTAGTTTGATTTTATTTAATAATAATGATAATAATAATGGAGTCTCACTTTGTTGTTTGAAGTATGAATTTAATTTTATTATATTTTTCAAAAAACATTTTGTAAAGTAAATTAATAAAGCTGAAGAATATGATAGATATATATGTGGCCTTGATGGGAAATATATGTCACAGGCCATTCAATCGACTACCACCCTATAAATAGTATTAACACAATCTATTGGTAGAAAAAGCATTTTAGAAAACCCCACAGCATAACATCTTATCTTAAAAATACGTAAATATTCCATTATGTGCAATTATTTGGTATTTTTGAGTACGAAAGTCGGCAGTAAAAGTGTCCAAACAATTAAACTTCTTATCTTTTGTGTGACTATAACTAGATGCAGTCCAATATCGATCTATTAATCTTCTGGTTGCTGTCGTTTTTAGGCCTTGGCTAATATTACAGGTTTGGCAAGCGACAATGCATGTATATCGCTGTAAGAGAGAGGCTGTTTCCCTGCCACCAAGACAGTTTGACCAATAACATACTCAGTATAATAAAAAGCACTCACTGTTTGAAAAACTTTTTTATTTGAGTGTCCGTTACACCCCCTCGTACACCCACACACTAGTTAATATTATTTAAGTGGAATGTCCACCCCAGCAATTTTTAAATTTTAATACCCCTCATTTATTTATAGATACTGGCGTGGAGCAGGTCTGTGCTTGCTGAAACTACATGTACTTCTCATTTTCTTTTGCATTATTAAGTAGCTTAAAGTTGTTTCCAGAAAAATGTAAAATCAGTACGTATAGCCTCTCTCTCAGTGAATCTTTAGCCCCTATCTCTTGTTAGCCCCGGTGCGCTCACTGTATTAGGGTGAAATCAATGTATAAAATGATAAAATGTTTGCCATATTTCTTTAAAGAATTGGTGCGAAGGCATGGGGACTGTTAACATTTGGATGATGATAACAAATGCATGTTTCTCAAAGTAGAAAAATCATCTGAAACAGAGATGTCAAAGTGACCAGTCGCATTTCGATGTACTCCATGCTATGGTCTTTATTTAAAAATAGCACTTTTTACTAGATTACAAATTGCATCGTATTGTTTGGTTCCCTTGCCTCGCTTTCAAAAATTAGAACAGGCGCTCCAAAGTAAAAAAAAATATATAGGCCTATTGGCTAAGTTCACCCTCGCACAAGAATGTCCTCGCAGCATTATCTGCAATTAACATTCCTACAATTTTGATTGTATTTTGCAATATCATTTTCAATCTGGTCCATGAAGAATTTTATTAATCAAGAGTGGGGGAGGGGTGAAAAATCCCCACTGGGGCCACAAATAAAACGTATTTCGAACAGCGCACTTTTCGCGCATGCGCAGTTGCTTGAAGCCTGTGCTCCTTAACAACAAATGACCTATATTTAAAGTACACTATAAATAATAAGTATTAAATGTATAAATGATTGCCTATTTAATGACTATATTGTAGGTGTCAACCAATTCTAGAGGAGCCAAGGAAGGGGCTTTGAAAATGTTGAAAAAAGCTCTTCAAATGAAGTCATCTCTGGCCGTAGATGTTCAATNGGGGGGGGGGGGGGGGCGTGCCCCCCTGCAGATCTTCATATATTCTACACAACTAGACTGTATAAGTTCAATAGAGACAAGGACTGTAAAGCACATATGTGCTTTACATAGTGTATATGATTGCCAGAGTGCGTTCTTCTTGCGTTTCTGATAATGGCGGACGCACCCGCGCGGTACGGTACGTTGCTTAGAGTGCATTCTCAGAGATTAAGATCGATCCATCCGGATCGACCTAACTCCCTGGGGGTTCACGCTAAATTGCAGTCAGCCGAGCGCGCACGACAGTTAATTACCCCCTTACAGCTTTTAGTAGGCGGGACAGACGCTTAAGCCGGCTAAGCTGACAGTAATCTAGTGAGAATCCCACAGGGATAGATCGATCTAAAATCATTTGGAATGGGGTCTAATAGACCAAGAAGTTATAGAGGCAACCATTCTACTTTATTCTACTATATTTCAAACTGGTGAGCCGTAGGGCTCAATGGTTTAATAAATTGAAATCGAATGCGCTTTAACAATTGTGTGAATATTTTGAGAAAATTCCAAGGAATGTGCCATTTGCCATATGTATAATATTTAAACCTGAATGTTATGATAAATACCTTGAGCACCTCTTACTGACACGAAACGAAACCGAGGGTCCGTGTAACAGAAATAAAAGCCCGACCTCCATATAGCATAATGGTTAGGTTTAGTCTGACCCAAGTGGATCAAAATCTAGGGCGAGGCTCACCACTAAAATGAATAGGAAGCGGACTCTCTGTTATGGGGAACTCTGTCACGTTACATCGGCACATATCGTTTTGGTGACAGTGCATTTTATTAACTAATTTACATATTTCTAATTATTTCAAAATTACAGAGGTCAAAATGAGAATGATGCACCCGAAGCCATTAAAGACATCACAACCGCCAAGGTGCAGGTGGCCAACGACCAAAATCCACGTAGATTTGAAGTAACTGCTGAAGGAATGACATATCAACTGGAGGCGATTTCGGCAGAAGAGAGAGGACTGTGGGTGGAAGCCTTAAAACAGGCCATAGGTATATTATCAGTATAAATGGGGTTATATAGGCCTACCCGTAGCTGCAGTGCCACTGCAGAAAGATAAGTTAGTGTATCACTTCGTTTACTAGACGTACTGAACACAATTAATATGAGTACATGTACGATTGGAATTTGAAAAGGATCTTTACAATAGTTAACGCTCATGCAGTGGGGACACATGATTTATTTCATACCCGACCCGTTTCGTCTGTCATCTGCCTCACCCTCCTCACGTCGAGCCATATTTTATAGAATCTTTTGTTTTAGAACTATCTTTCAGACGGAGGGTTACAAAGGGGTTCTTTGACTCACTCAGTATGCCTTGTATGTGCTTTGATAAACATTTTGAAGATTCTGTGCTCCTTGTATGATTTTGCAATTGAACCAGTTTGGAGAAAATGGTTTTGATCCCTGCTATAAAAAAGACGTGTGGAAGACTCAATAAAATTGTTCGGGGAAATGTCTGTGATCTTTGGCACTAAAATATTTTATCAATAGGGTTTAGAAAACAACGAACAGCTACAGCAAGACCCTTGTCTGCAACAAAACGTGGAAAAGAGTAGAAATATTGTCGCAGAGAGAGAGAGAGAGAGAGAGAGAGGGAGAGAGAGAGATGGGGGTCTACAACAAATATCTGTAGATGAGCAAATGATCAACAGAGATACTTAAATTGTGAAAGAAATTACCAGTATGACATTCCGATGTACCTTTACCCTATTGATGAATCTCTTCAGGGAAGTTTGAGACCTTAAAGGATGTCTTTCCGCTGTAGACGCTTAAATAGGCCTTTCTCTGAAACTTTGCCTATTTGATCCTGAACCCCAAAGCATGTCTCACACAAAACCGTTGAGAAAATAAAGGTCGAGGTATAGGTTTTTAAGATCACTTAAAGAAAAAAAAGCGCAGCATTTTTTTTCGTCTAAACTTCTCGCCATTACTCCCCTACGAATGGAATTCTGGGACTTGCCTCAATTTGCATATGACTGAATACTACTGTTTACTATGCTCTGGAGAAGACCCGGATGTCGCTGCAAACCAAGATGGAGGGTANCAGTCTGGAACTAGAAAACAATTAAAATGGACTCCCCTCATGAATCCATTCGTGTGAAAACTTGGGAATCGTAATTTTTGATGATTCTGTAAATAATGAGTCTCCTAATAATGAGTCTCCTAAAAAAGCAGACATATTGGATGTACAATTTCAGTGTCATTTCCATGAACACAACTGATTATCAGTTGAAGTCTTACATGTTTTGAATTGTACAGTTACATGGAATACTCAATACGCATAATCCTATAAATCCATTTTCATTTCCTCAACTGCACAAATCATTGAGCTGTTGTGCTACTTTATCACAACAATAATTATGATCTGGAAATGCTCTCAGTATAGCGTAAAAAACCAAACACCACATATCTGACAGCTGTGTACTTACAACTCTTCTCTGTGGTTCAGAATACTGATCATAACAGAAAAAAGATCTCAGGAAGCTATCTACCATTCACACCTCAAGCCTCAGAAAAATCATAGAAATATATGGGCCAAGGACTATATCAAACGAAGATCTGTTAAAACAAGATAACTAACGAACCATGAGCTTATTCAATGTAAAACTAAAAAGCACTCAAAGAGCCCAAACCTCTGAAAATATGGCTCAATTCTCAAAGGATGAGTGCGAATAACCATTGGCAAAGTGCCCATCCTCAAATTTTTTAAATAATTTGCTATTATAAAGTTTATGCATATATTTGTTGCATGGAAAAATATTATTTGGTTTGAGGCATTATAACTTATATTTTTAATGAATTATATGTGGGGGGGGGGGGGAGCCGGATTTACCTGTTGTATGCAATCTAATGAATCAGAGCAACTTGTTTCAGCAATTATATTACATAAACGATTTTTTCTAATGAAACTTGTCTTGTGATGTGAAAAAGAGTTATATGTTAAATAATTGTGGTGTGGCACAAGTAAATGGGAAAGTAATAATTGTTTTTTTTTATCCTAGAGAAGAGAGGGAGGGGTGGTATATTACGGTATTTTCTCACAGAAGCCATCACTTATTTCACCTAGCTGTATAAAAGACTTGTTACTAAAAAAACTTGTTTCAGCGTATTTATTAATTTTATATANGGGCGTGGGGCCAGTCCCATCTCCACTGATGCTGAGTCATTGCTTGGTAAATTCTCTAGCAAAAGCATCTTTATATCCAGTGCAAGGCCAGGATTTCCATCACACTTGTCACAATGTATTCAGCACTTTCCTTGGCAACACCATCATTTTCTTGGAAACACCATCATGTATGCTCTGATAATGAAAAAAATATATTCACTTTTACATCTGTCATTTCTGTTTTGATATGTACAATAGCTTACTTCAAAAATAAAATATTTGAAAATGTATGAACACTAAAACGACCATAAGGACTGGATTTCACACCACCAAATTTTATCTTATAAATATACTTTGAAAATAAGAAGGAATATGAATGGTGTTTGTATATTGTGAGAAACTTAGAATTTATCTTTTCAATAAAGATTTAATGAGTTTTATACCTCTTCTGTGAGTTACTGAATTCTCCTTTCATGTTCTTGAGTCAATCCTCCTGATGTCACACCTCTTCCAAGCCTTGTACTACTGGACCTAGAAGTGCTAGGTATCACTGCCAACTCTACTAAACCTTTATACAGGGCTTTTTTTCTAATGAGGCCGACATCACAAGATAGTATGCTGTAAAATAATAATAAAACTAATAATAATAATAATTGGCACTGATTTAATTGCATGCTAGTAATAATGTTGTGAACTGTTCAAAATGGGTTTCACTTCAATTAATCATTGTCCTGCACTCAAGCGTATCAATTGTTATCCCTAAACTATAAGTTTTTTGTATGTGTGGATTATTACATGTGAATATAGGTGAGGGTAAGGTGGGTTCTACACATTACTATCAAAACTAAGGAATATGCCAGATTAACTAAAAGGCCTGTATTATTGAAAAATAACAGAAAACTCTTTACCTCAGGGAGCTCTTTACCCTCTAGTTCTGGACTGCTCTGACTGCTTGCCTCATCAACAATAGGCCTACTCTCGATCTGAAAAGTATAAAAACAGATCGACTAGAAAAGCAAGATAAGATACGTGTGTGCGTAGCACAAAATTCAGGCACTCCTATTGTCGATTTTGACATCTGCACGATGCTCACCACTACTGCCAGTAAGTATCAAAATCGTCTGGAACGCATTTGTAGTCCGTGCTACGCTGTGCGTGCAAATCGTGATGTCAAAATTGCGGCTCAGAAAGCATAGCAAAAAACAAAAAAAGTAACAGTCGTTCATAAATATCCAACCGAAAAGGGCTGGTTCAGTTGACCCGAAAAATATCACTGTCTCTAATCATGTCACCGGTACATTTCCTGGTACACGTTACTCATTCGGTGAATCGGCATTGAGAATTACGGCATCAAGCACTGTTGACATAATAGGCTACACTCCGTCGTAAATATTTCCAAGCCATTCGTTGATTTTTGGACTATTTTAACCGACGAGAAGTTAAATGAATTCTTTAAATGTTTAAGTGCACAAACCTGTTCACGAACAATGAAGGGAGAGAGTTTTAACTAACGTGCATCTGTAAACGACTTACTTCGAACTCCACCGCGCCATATTTATTTCTCCTAGTGTACGAGTGCTATTTTAGGCAACGCACTCTGATTGGCTAAAACCTTGCGGTAGTCGTCTTCTCTTTTTTGGGGAGAGGACGTTCTCCAATACAGACTCGAATGTGAAATAATTAATTATTTTGATTGCCGTCTACCTCAAAGGCGAATTTTGGTTTAGATCGTGACCTTCATATATAAGAAAAAGTTTGGGATATGTTTTATTTTCCCTCATATCGGAAAGAGCCCCTTTAAAGGCAGTCTGGAACTAGAAAACAATTAAAATGGACTCCCCTCATGAATCCATTCGTGTGAAAACTTGGGAATCGTAATTTTTGATGATTCTGTAAATAATGAGTCTCCTAATAATGAGTCTCCTAAAAAAGCAGACATATTGGATGTACAATTTCAGTGTCATTTCCATGAACACAACTGATTATCAGTTGAAGTCTTACATGTTTTGAATTGTACAGTTACATGGAATACTCAATACGCATAATCCTATAAATCCATTTTCATTTCCTCAACTGCACAAATCATTGAGCTGTTGTGCTACTTTATCACAACATTAATTATGATCTGGAAATGCTCTCAGTATAGCGTAAAAAACCAAACACCACATATCTGACAGCTGTGTACTTACAACTCTTCTCTGTGGTTCAGAATACTGATCATAACAGAAAAAAGATCTCAGGAAGCTATCTACCATTCACACCTCAAGCCTCAGAAAAATCATAGAAATATATGGGCCAAGGACTATATCAAACGAAGATCTGTTAAAACAAGATAACTAACGAACCATGAGCTTATTCAATGTAAAACTAAAAAGCACTCAAAGAGCCCAAACCTCTGAAAATATGGCTCAATTCTCAAATTTATGAATTAACTCAATTGTTCTTATTTATTGCTTGACTCATTGATTAGCCAAATTATTGTAAAATACATTTATTGATTATTAATTAATATTTTTTTTATTTCATTACAAATTTTAAATGATTCATGAATCTTTCTTTTCAGGTCCACGACGTAGTTCAGGAATCCCGATGATAGTCGGAGGTGTCATCAGCGCGGTAGGGGCTGTTGCTTTAGCCCCAGTCGCTCTAACAGTCGTGGGATTTACCAGCGGCGGGATAGCCGCCGGATCCATGGCAGCCTCAATGATGAGCAGTGCAGCGATTGCAAATGGCGGAGGTGTGGCGGCGGGCAGTCTCGTGGCGTTGCTTCAGTCGGCAGGTGCGGCTGGTCTTGGAACGGCAGCAACTGGCGCTGTTGCGACTGTCGGAGGAGCAGCTGGAGCCGCAGTCGTTGGAGTGGGACAAAAAATCACACAGTTGTTTAGGAATTAAAACTCTTTGAGGCCACTATTCGAATATAATTGTCGTAAGATGTTAACAGATATGTTTGACTTTCAAGAAGAAAAACAACTATATCCAAATCAAGACATTCACAGTTGTAGTGTACCCTCTGCCAGGGTCACAGATTGACTTTCACTTTATTTTCACAGATATTCCTCTGGCTAATTCATGACACAGTTCTTATTGCACAGAACGGTGCATATAATAAGATAGAGAAATAATTATCTTTGAATATTTAATGGAAAATCAATAATGCCCCGGTAGAGGGTAACATTAGCCAACCTTTCCAAAGCAGTCATTCAAAACTAATTCACATAACATTTAAACAGTAACTATAATAATATAAAGGAATGGTAATTTACGAAAATGAATCAAATTTGGATTCCGCAATTTTTCAATCGTTACTTATTGGTTTCTTCGGTTGTAAGGAGTTAAGCCAGTTTTGATTGTTTAAATGCTAATAAAAACGATTAAAATTGAACTGTTGCTTGTTTCACTAAGTTGAATTTTACTCGGCAATCTTATAGCCCATTTTTAACGTTGAAAAAAAACCTGTCCGTGTTAAAGAAGGTGCAGAAATCGTTTCTTCCTCGATCCTTTCAAAAGAGTTCTAAAATAACTCATAAACAAAATTTAACAAAGATACCCTTACGGTGTCTTTTTCTGGATTGAAAGCCACTTTTTGAAGGTTAAGGGCTCTTACTTTGCGCAAAATCAACAGCATGACTTTAAATGAACAAAGAGGCCAAACAAAACCAAAGGCTTCTGTTTTGACACGCCAACAAGGGTCGGGCAGAAGCACAGCATTACATGGAGAACGTGCTATGCTGTCCCGCAACGGTGTGAACATTCCGTATGTTAACAGGTGCCATATGTAGGTTTGGTATCGTAGGTGGTAAGCTGTTGATTATGTTTACCATTGGTTCGTTGGTGGTCATTGCCTGTATATCGCCATCGGAATGTTCAGAACATCAAAGCGTCATAAAACAGTTTCGTTTTATTATAAAACCTAAAATGCAAGTCAAATAGATATAAGGCTATTCGCACATACGTGGCACACTAAAATATCGCGCCATTCACCCTAAATTTTAATAAGTCTATCCAATTTCTAGGGCACTTTTTTTTGCTTGTTTTCCTGTCATCTTTGCAACTTTACAAGATCTGCAATCTTTGCATCGAGCTGTGAAGCCGATAATTTTGTCCGTTTTTTTCCAATAAGAGAAGCAGTTCCTGAAATTTTAATGTCAAACAGTCTGATAGATGCTGTAGTGAACTTCAAAATTTTTGTCTGTAATATAATATAATATAATATAATATAATATAATATAATATAATATAATATATAACTGGTAAATGATAAAATAAATGGTAAATGATATAAGAAAATGACTATGACATAATGTAACGCGGTGTAAAAATTATTTCTTTAAAGAAATATTATTTTTTAAATCAAACTTTGACTAGTTGTATCATAGTTATAAATATCATACAAAATGGACCATTCGCCTTCTAAAAGACCCCCCGTTATTGTTTACTTTGAGCCACTAGTAAGTGGACCCCCCCCCCCTTTCAAATAATCCTGGATCCGCTCCTGAACATTGAATGAAAAAGTATTGCATACAAATGAAACAACATTGAATGAAAATTTGAAACAACACTGAATGAAAAAAAAAATATATATATATATATATTGAATGAAAATTTGAAATATCATCGAATGAAAAAAATTATTGCATACAAATGAAACAACATTGAATGAAAATTTGAAACAACACG